GGAAGCGGCGGCCCTCGCTGTCAACTTTCCTTTTTTTAGTTACAGTCGCCATTTTAGAAATGGGCACACAAGCCTTGTGTCACAAGGGTCACGCGGCGAGAGTGCTGACTCAGGTCAACTGCCATCTTCTGGTGAAATATGACCACCAGCCTTGAAGGAGCAGGAGGTAGCAGGGGACAGCTGCGGGAACCGCTGTGCGGTGAAGGGAAAAACGCTGGCCGGTGGGGATGAGTGACAGGCTGCGCCAGCGGGGAGAAGAGGCTGCGGGCTACTCGAAATTTGAACACGGGCAGCAATTGGCCCCCGGGCCGGACTTTGGACATGCCTGTCTTAGATGATATGGAGGACACAAAACGACTTGCAGTAAGATCAATAAGAAGAAGGCTAATATCTATACACATACATCATTTCAAGTTTGGAACTTAGAGCCTTTTTATTGTTGTTTTGCATTTATGAAAGATTGTATAAGCATCTCAGTCATAGAGAGTAATTTGAATATCTAGATGGAAAAAACGGAAAGGAAGTAAGCAACATGAAAATATCTGCTCAGAAAACATGGGCTTTTGTGTGGACTAATGAATAATCAAATTAGATGGTGTCTGTCTAGAAGAAAATCATGACAAATAGCAGCTACAGAAAGTTGGAAAGCCAGCTTGTTCATCATGTCCAAACACAGCATTTGACAAAAGTTGAAACGTTTTGCAATTTGCCACTGAAAAAAAAATCTTATTTTCTTCCCATGGTTATTCCCTCTTGAAATATAGCAGTTCTCTTCTGTATGCACACAGCCATAAAAGCTGACTTGCCCTTCCAGACACTCCTCCTAGTTAGCACCTCCATAGAAACCCAGGTGAGACAGCCAAGAGAGTCCATAGCCCAGGGGAACCCAGGAATACGGCCAAGTACAGAAAATATAGAAATGATAGTCTGTAAAATGTGATGCCTTACCTAATGTTTGCCCCTCATTGCCATTATATGGATTTTCAAGGAAGGTGAACATCATTACTTAACTTAATCAGCCATGGGGGAGGCGCTTAAGGGGACTTGATTGATCTCTAACATATATTGTATCAAGATCATTACATCCACTTCCGTATTCAGTATTCTAAGAGACACCACAGCTGTACAGAGAAGGATTAGATGTAAAGTGCAAGGACAATGTAGAGGATAACAAACCAGTGGGTTTTCTCTCAGTAGGCTTCAAATGGTGCATTGGATACCGAGCATTCTTCGGTCTCCCTTCTGGCAAGTTTACTATCCAGATCATTCTGGCTGTAGCAAGTCTGCTACAGCTATTTCTGATCCACTGCAAGTACTTTCACTAAGAGAAGGAGCACTTCCACACATTGGTCTATTCCACACAAGGCACTCCAGAGGAGAGGCCACTACCAGGCTGCTGAGTTGAAACAAGGGGAGGAAGCTGGGGAAATCAGCTACCTTTGGGACTGTTCCACGGAGTTTTGCTACCTGAGGTCAAAGAGCAAGTGGTATCCTTCCCTGCACGCAAGTCAAAGTGCACAGTACATGAAGCTGGGAGAGTTTTTCTGGCACATGTGACAGACTCTCCCAAAGCGCCTGTTTAAAGCACACAGTGAAGATGGCAAAGAGATGGCAGCAGGCCCTCTTGGTGTGGTGGGGTACGGGGCGTTTGGTAATTGGCAGCTTCACCCTGCTTCATGGGAGGACTGGCCCTGGCATCTCCTAGGCCTGCCTGACCATTTTACTTCTTATAATAGACTTAAATGAAATGATCTTACGGGAGACCAGAAAGAGCATTGCTTTTTTTAAAAAAAGCACTTATCTTGTCATTTGCCACCCCCTCTAAGTGATTATCACAGAAAGTTTAAACAATCAACATAATTAGATGCTAATATTTTCCTCTGATTGACATCTGCAGTCCATCTTACAGAGACTCTCTTGTGCTTTTGTCTACCTTCTTTGAGTCAAACACTACTTGTCAGTGTTGACTTTGCTGCGGAAGCACAATATTTTTGCACTCTTTGATCATTGCTGTATCTCATTGTCTACAGAATTTCTAATACACTTCTAATGTCACAGTCATATTAAGCACCAGTTTTTTTTGTTGTTTTTTAAATGTAGCTTACATAGGGCAGTTAGATAATGAGTGAATCCACGATTTATCAGATTTCTTTTTTAATTTCTCTTTTATCAACAGTGAAGAACCATTCTGCTACAGATGAAGAAAATATTTGACTTTTGGTATATTTCTTGTGTATTTAATTTAATTTTCCTAGTGTAATACACCATGGTGTCATCGCAGCATACCATCAAGTCATCAGTTTGATGGCTGTTCTCTTGCAAATATGCACATAAAAGATGGCAAGATACTGTGTGTCTCTTGTCATGCTTTTTAACACTTTAAGAGAAAAGCTTAGTATAACTGTTGATATGAATAGACCCTAATGCATTGCTTCAGCTTTTTTATTAAAAAGTGGAAGATCTTGAATACATTACTTGGGGAAAAAACAGAACAAGGACAAACAAGCTGTGTGGGTGTTCAAAAAGCAAAAAGACTACTTATTTAAATAGTGGTTCTACAGCTTAGTCTAAAGCTTATTTACTCAGAAGTAAGTCCCATTCCTGGCAAATTATTTCTAGTGAGTGTATTTAGTCCCAGAATCCTGGAGGGCACCAGGTTTGCAAAGACTGGTATGAAGCCTTGACTGGAGGCACTGCTTAAATGCACATCCGAGCAAACTGGCACTCTCCAAATGCTCCGGCCTACACTCTCGTCAGCGTTAGGGCACACAGCTGATGGTGGACCAAAGTGCTGAAGGCCAAAGTATCCAAAAGGCCACAAGTTGTCCACTCTGGCTGAAAGAATAAGGTTCCATTCCTGCTCAACTATTTCTTGGTGAGTCTGTTTAGGATTGCAACCATGTGCAGCAATCGTGTGTCACCTTGGAGTAATTTTCATCAAACTCAATGGGGCTTACTTCTGAGGCGTCATGCATAAGACTGCACTGTGAGCTACCAATTTTACAGACTTTAGCTGACTGTGCTTAGTGTATTTTCAGAGATGAATAGTTGCAATTGAGAAAGTTAGTTGTGCAAGGCCATAAGATAAAACTATTGGCTCTTGGATCCAATCCTGTAATGGCATGTCATAGTGCAATGAAATTTTTGTGAAGGAGATACGAATCCCATTAATTAGTACATCTTTTCCTGGCTTCAAAACATGCTTCTGAAAAGAACATGTCAGCTTTGCTCCTTAAACAACTTGTGCCAGTGTTAAACTGATGTCAGGGTGTTCTTCCATATGTTGGCTTTTGCTGGTGACTGGCACAAGGAAACCAACAAACCAGATATCCGCAGGCTGATCACTGATAGGCTGAACATACTAGCAGAATCAGTTGGGAAATGGCAGCCATTGCTTAGAAGGAAGCCAGCAGCTGTAGCTGTGCTAACAAATTCTTGTGGGTTCAATGGGAAGGCGTGGATTTAGTTTTCAGCCAGAGGCTTTATAGTCCAGGAAAGTGCAATGTATTCCTGAATCCCAGGGCAAAGAGTGCCCACGGACCCTTGATGAATGCTGCTCATTGACTGACCAGAATCCCACTGCTCTGCAAACAGCTGCAAATAAGCTAGTCAGAAAACACTGGTGAAGAAAACACACAACTCCTCTTAGGGAATCTTGGAAAGAACTTTTTACTGTGCTGGCTCTACAAATCAACGCTCCTGGCTTCCATATCCCAAAAGAGCTGGATGGCAGGAGGATCAGCTCCCTGCAGCTGGGCTTCTCCTGGAGTGATGTGCATGCCACCGCCATCACCACTGCTTTCACTGTCCTGGTCACTGTTGTCGTCTTCAACAGCGTTGCTCATATGTGGTTCCACATCATTGTCGTCTTCAATCACCAGGACATCATCCTTAGCTTCTGGGTCAATGTCCTCCTTAAACCACACCGCCTTGTAGCCGTTGTCTGACATCCTCCTGTCTTTCGTGAGAATGGATCGTACTTCCTTTGAGCTGTCTGTCTCCTCATCTTTTTCTGCCTTCTCCAGGATTGCATCAAAGGCTCTTTCTGCCGGGCTTTTTCCCAAGGGAGCCAAGGTGTCTGGAAAGCTGCTCATAGCCGCAATGCTTGCTGACAACAAGCTGCCCTTTCCAACCGAGTCAAACTTTTCATCATTTTGGAAGTTGGTGTTGACGAAGCCTTCAAACTGCAAAAGAAGGACAAAGGTTTTCACTGCTGCACAAATCACCCCATCTTTAAAAAGGACTGAACCTGATCTCTAGGAGTTCTGAGTCTATATAATTACAAGCTGATTCACACAATCATGTTTGAGGCAAGACTGCTGCCAGAGTTTACTTCCCCTGTTGATTTTAATGGGATAAAGTAACCCTGGGAAAGGTTACATGATGGTGGTATGGAGCATGTAGCAGATCTGTTGGAACAACACACCATCTCAAGCAGCTGATAATCTTGACTTGTTGGGAAGGCTGGTATGAAGCTTCGCCCTGATGGGCAACTTTTGGCCCTCCAGATGTTTTGCCCTATATCTCCCATTAGTCTTAGCCAGCATAACTCATGGTGAGGGATCATGGGAGCTGTAGACCAGAACATCTGGAGGGCCACAAGTTGCCTACCCTGGCTGAGTACATAAGGATCCACTGAAAATACTGCAAGTCAATGACACACATACCAAAGCTCACCTGTGATGGCTAAGTGTGCAACTGACATATTTATTTATTTATTAGCTTTGCTTGAAGGCTGCTCATAAACATTGCACCCTCTGCATGATGATTTTGCATGATAATTTCATTAGATCAGGGGATTAAAAGAATTGCTGTTTTGTTGGCCTATCGTAAAGCCTGTAGCAGCTGCGTGCATTACTGCGATTACTTCACAGGGCCTGAAAAACGGTGCTCACAGCTTGCTCAGCGTTCTGTCACTTTCACTCATTTGATGACACATATGATGAGAGTCCAGGTAAAGGAGGCTAGGAATCCTGTGCCACACGACAAACATCAACCAGCAATTGCTGTTGTTCACAAGTCAGCACTGAGCTTTGCTGTTGTACCAAGCATGTCCCCTTGCAATGCGAAGGCCACACAATAGTTTACAATGCTGTGATTATGCAGCAGTTGTGAAATTCCATCCACTCACAGCATATGTAGCGGAGAGTGTGAATGAGGATATTTGTAAAGAGAACCACACTGCTCTTCTTTACAGCAAAGACTTCGGATTTGCCTGTGCCCCTGGAAACAACCAGCCAACCAACCAAACCAATGTACAGCAGAGTTCCACTTACTTTGCAGCTGCTCCTTTTCATCTTGTAATACCTGTAGGAGACCAGTCCGAGCAGCACTAGTGCGACTGCCAATAAACAACCCAGAGTCACACCCAGAGCAGTCATGTCTTGGACTGTATACATACGGGATGTAAGTACACCTACAAAGGAAACAAAGACATCTCATGTGCCTAAGCATCACACCCAAAGGAGCTGTTTTAGCTATTCCACAGCAACCAAAGTGTCATCCTAACGGTGATTTTTTAAAAAATTACTGTTTTTGTTCTTTATATACCAAACTGAAACCTAGGATGGACCAAAGGAACAGTAGTCCTGAGCAACATCTGTAGTGACTTGTCTGACCAAACTAAACAGGCTATTATATTAAAAAAAAATCTTCAAGAAGCCTTAATGAATCTGGGTCCCTTCCACAAATGGAAGGAGCTTTTTTTTCATAGATGGGCAAGTCTAACCCAAAATCTTGTTCCTATTTACCACAGGTGGCAGGGATGGGGTCTATTTACAAAGGATGCATGAGTATTCTTTTAGTTTCTGACGCAAATTGAATGAGCATTCACTTAAACAATGGCTGCCTTCCTCTTTCTAGTTTCCATGCCACATAAATTACGTCCGATAGTGATGCATTTAAAATACTGGCATTTTATGTGGCCTACTTTTTTATACTGAACAACATGTGTTTGTGTTGATATAAAAGGAGGGAAACTTATACTAGAGATGGGGAGGCACACAAAATCTTCTGCTCTTCACATGTTTTGAACAGTGCACTCTGGGTAATATGTGGAACAGGCCATAATGCATTACTATGTGATTTCTGAGTTCTTGATTTCTTCCCTTGATTCTGAGCTCTTCAAGATCCTTAATGTAAGATACCTGAAAGCATTCTTTGGAAGTATGAACTGGTTTCCACCAATTTTCCAGCCAAATGAAAACACATGCTATGTTTTCTTCTGTTGACTTGGTTTTGATTGCTGTAGGAATTTGTACTTTCTCATTTCACAGTTCACATCCTTATGCCATAACTGTTATGCAATACTTTTAAAGCTTAATAAGAATATGTCCAACCATTAGTACGTCATGGCTATAATCTCTAGTGCCATGGACTTTGAATATTGCTTGTAAATTTCAATTACCCCAGTTTATCATTAACATGAGCTGAAATGGCTGGTACATCTATTAAATCTTACCTCTCAGAAACTAAAAATATTTCAATGGAGACAATTTACAGCTCCACTGCACTGTGACTGGTTCAGGGAAATTTGATGCAATTTGCTTAGTTCACAATGGGCATTTCAGAAAACAAACCAAGAATTAATTAATCAATCAAAGAATAGAATCTGTTGATAAAATTTTAGAGCAAAAAGTTCCAAGACAATATCTATCCCTTTTTCTCAGTGTTATAACTGCACAAACACATTAATTCCTTTTTAATGTTGTTTACTTGTGACATATTTATTTGGGCATTTCCCCACTCTTTTTAACAATAAACGATATTTAGAAAGAAAAAGGTTCAGCAGCAATAAAACCAGGGTCTGCCTTTTAAGACCATGAGTAAGATGAGTTTAATGGTGAAGGGCATAGTTCTCACGCAGAAGGCCCCAGGTAAAATGAAAGGTGGCAAGGTCACAAATGTACCCCAGCCTTGAAACCTGGAGGAGCCACTGCCAGTGAGTACAAACAAGGATAGGTTAAATGAGCCGAGGCAGGTCTTGGCAATACTAAGAGGGTTCATATATTCTAATTATTCCTACTGCCTACAAGGTTTAATAGAAATCCTGCCAAAGTTAATAAGAAAAATTCTACTGGCTTTTACTGGTTCTGAACCCAGCTGCATTCATCCCAGGAAAGAAATAACAATCTAAGTGGAATATTGTTTGTTGCTCGTTTCATATCTTAAAGGCCATATAAAGTGGCAGTCCATTGTCCGACAAGATCAATGGAAGGCTTTTCTTATTAGTAGGATGGCCACAATAAGGTTGGATGTAGACTTCAGAACATCCCCTAGTACTTCACAGAGGAATCCCTTGATACCAAACACTTGGAAATAGGAAGGACAGCAGCTATAAACAGAAAGAATGTTAGGCTCAGAGGCCTAATTCCAGACACATTATTATCCCTTAGCTTTGCCTGAGACCAGCTGCCATCTGAAACTAATGTCACAATATAATGTCCCCTATAACAGATTGGAAGTGTGATTTACAGTGTCTTGCTCTGTATGGGATGGGCAGGGAGCGGGGTTGGCCGCACTTCTCTTTTCCACTTTGGGGAAAATTCAGGAAGTTGTGGCACCAAAGAGAGGAAGTGCACAGCATTCAAACATTTGCAGAAGAAACAAGGTAAGAGGTACTCCAGTGGTGGGCATCCAGTGGTCCTCCAGATGATGCCAGATACTAGCTCCTGCTTTCCCTGACACAGAGCAGTCATGTTTCCTCTTTGACTGTCCTCTGTTTGTCGGGCTGTTGATGGGTGCCCTGCATTTTGAAGGCATCTTCTGTTTGAAGGGCCAGGTGGTCCAAACCCATTGGAAAGATAAAGAACCACTGAAGGAAACATTGAACTTTGAAGCTGCACATCCACCATTTGCAGCTGAGCAGCAGAGGATGCAGGCGCAGCCTTTTCAATGCAATTAGATGAGTTGCATTTTTATTTGAATGATGACACTGTCTGAATCTGTACCTCTATAGCTAAATTATAGCAATGATGATGTTAATTGGCACCCACTTCTCATTTTGATGATATATATTCTCTGTTTGAGTGGCTCATAGGTGACCACCCAAGGATGATGGGAGTTGGAGTCCAACCAATTTTGGAAGAGTACAGGATTGCCCTCCCCAAAGGCAAACAATATGGGGTAAGGATTGCTGTGTGGGAAGATTTCCATTTTGCATTAAAAAAGGGAATGATGAATGAGTGGCCTTATGCCTGAATGGTAAATTGGAGGCATGTTCAGCCCCTGCTGAATTTTATATATATATATATATATATATATATAATTTATAGGCTAAATTGCCCACCCACCCTTCACACATACATCTAATCTCTTCATATATAAGGAAATGGATTAAAAAAGAGAGGAAACAGAAAGAAAAATAGGGAGCAAAGCATTTCAGCAAAGCAAGATACTGCTGGCCATCAAGGGTGTGTGCAGTCTTCTATGCACAGGCCACCTTAGTCTGCCCAGCATCCAGAACAGCATCCAGAACAGGTGGCCACAGAACTACTTCTGAATCCCTTCAAGTGCCGCATTGCTGTTCTTTCCAGCTCCCTTATTTCTGCAACATATGTGGGTCTTTGCAGCATGCATGGGCATCCCATGCAGCAGGATGTCTCCCACAACAGCCACGCTTTTCTTGTTGTGCACTGGCTCTGCTTCAATGACCTTCCACTTCTTACTTGCCATCACACAAGGCTTGCAGGTCTTCCTCTGCAGGCTGCCTTCTCGTCCAGCCTCAAGCACCTGAAAGTGGCCCCATCGTTCCACCACCTCCACAGGTGCAGAGTGCCCTCTAGTTCTTTGGTTCCTAACTGTCACCCTTTCCCGGGGAGTTTCCTCTGCTTCGTTTCCCCTTGCTGCAGGATTCTCCTGTTCTCCTTCCGGTTGTTGCTCTTCCAGTTCCTGGGTTTCCACTTGGCCTCCATCACTTTGTCTAAGAACTCTTCTTCTTTTCTTACTGCCTTGTGCCAGGATTGGGGCATAAGTGACCCTGCAAGTGCTTGCAGAACCAGGAACGCCTTTCCAGGCATTTGCAAGGAACCGCTGAGGAGCAGTTACGAAGTGCAGCTGGAGACCCTCATGGCCACCATCAAAGGCTTCTCTGCACTGCTGCTCTTTGCCACAGCAATGCAAGTGGTGCTGGTGACTCCTTGTGCTCTGGTCTCTGCATCGTTAGGCCCTGCCTCAGTTCGTTCCCACCTCTCTCGAGCCCTGCTCCAGTTTTCCCCCGCCTTGCTCCAGCCCTGCTCCAGCTCGTTCCCACCTTGCTCCAGCCTGCGCCCTTCCCACTGTTCCCGTCCTCCTCTAAGCAGCCCCTGCCTCACTCCTGCCACTCTTCCCTTCGCTGTTTTGACTCACTAGTAAACTGATCGTGGAACTGTTCTTGGACTCTCTCCCTGTGTGTGAGTGGTCTGCCTTGCCGCTTGGCTCTGGACTCTGCTTGAGCCTGCGCCATGGGCCTGGCATTCTGACCCTCCCTGCTGCCTCCCATGCCCCGGCCCTCACACCCTGGGGGTGAACACCCAGCCTTTTCCTTCCTTCCTTCCTTCCACTTGTGGCATGGGTAGGCTGTGTTGATCTCAAGTAAGAGCACACATGTGCACGGACCTTGCACATTTGTGCATTTTTAAATGCTTTGTCCTGTGGGCCTGAGCCCTGGATCCTTTCTGGTACCTGTGGCTCTCTCTGTTGCATCTTTCCCCAGCCTTTCCTCCCTCCTTCTCCCCTTCTCCCCATATGGGCTCACCTCCCACCCTGCCACATCATGGAACTAGACTGAGGGCCAGAGGAGGTTCTTGAGCTTCACATTTCCCGCTTCTGTGCAATATCTCAACCAGTTTCAATTTTTAATCAGCATTTGAAGACTTTTGTTTCCCTTGATCTTGAATCAGTTCCGCTAAATCTCCTTCCTACCACGTCCCTCCTCTTTATCTGTTAGATTGTAAGACTGTGGACAAGGGCAGTCTTTAATTTTATTTATTGTACAGTGCTTTGTTTTGAGACTGATGCAGAAATAATTCACAATGATAATTTAATTGTTTATATTGATTTATGCTATACTTTTATATGCTCTATTTAAGCTATAGCCTTTCATTTAAAAGGTATAGCACATTGCAGTGGCTGTCCACTTAGAAGGGAGCACAATGGGAATTGCTTCAAGGGATCTGGGCAGAGGACTGCAGCCTAAAGCAGCTGATGGCATTATTTTGTCATGTAATAGCAGCGCCACTTTAAGGGGAGCCGTCTGGGTCCTGTGCAATAAATAAGTAACAAGGATGTAATAAGCTGATTGGAAAAACCTCAGGGGCCTCTAGATGAAGGGCTCCTGGTGCTGCAAATGCTGTTCTATTCTCTGTTTCATAATGCATTTTTGGAGGTAAGAGAAAAGACCCAAGAAGTGCTGGGAAAACACAGGAGGATGAAGATGACATCTTCCTGTATGAACCGACCTGGTACCTTTGACCTGCAGCTGAGACCCTTCTGAGGGAGCCCCTCTTCAGGATACAAGGAGGGGGGCAACAAGAAGGGCCTTTTCGGGAGTGGCATCTTGACCTTGGAATGCGCTCCCCAGAGAGGTCCGCCTGGCGCCGTCGTTATTTGTTTTTCGGCGCCAGGCGAAGACCTTTTTATTTAAGCAGTATTTTAAATGTTAATATTATTGAATTTTATTTGGCCAGGGCGGCTTGTTTTATAGTGTATGTTTTATATTATATATTTGTATTTTATTGTATATATTTTCAAATGTTATTTTAATTTTTTGTTGTAAGCCGCCCCGAGGCTTCGGCGAATGGGGCGGCATAAAAATGTTTTAATAAATAAAAATAAATAAATAAATATGGCTTGTTATGAAATTACTATTTCTGTTACTGGGTGCATTTTTATTTTACTGTTCTAATGTTTTATTGTTATTGGTCATTATGTTTTTATATTGTATGTATAATTTTATTGTTGTAACCCACAACAATAAAATGCATGGTTTATCATGATAGGAGTAAGCCTGGTCTTGCATACTTCCTCCCTCCTTTCCTCCTCCCACACAACTTTGAGAAAGACCTCAAAAGTCTTTTCTTCTAAACGATCAGACAGTGATTAAAATTAACTATGGTTTCTCTGAAATTATCCTCCTTCAAAACACCAGTTCTGAAGCTGGCCTGTTAAAATCTATCCTAGCTTGTTTTGTGGTAAGCAAGCACCATCTGTGTTGACGTTTAGTTGCCTCCTCAAGATGTTCCAATCCCCCTAGGGGATGATCCAGCTAGTATGGCCCAGGGATCAGTTTATCACACTTTAACTGTTCTGTGTTTTGCTTTTATTATTTCTGTTTACAGCTTTGGGAGTTTACTAGAAAGCAATAGAGACCTGTTGGGAACAAGTGGGGCAGTTGTTCTTGGCACAGACTCCCAGGTCACACTGATCTGGACTCATTGGAGGAGGCAGAGGGGCCCTGGGAATGTAAGACTTCAGACTTGGAGATGGGAGAAGTGGAGCAGCTTATCTCAAGACTGCTGTTTCCAGGTGCTGAGACAGCCTCTGGGAATAACCAAGATGCGCATCTGTCAGGAAGGTCTAGGAGAGGAGTTCTCAGAGCCAGATGAAGCTGGTACAAGTCTTGACCCATGACACAGTTTTGGGAGAGGAGGGCCGGCCAACGAGAGGGACAGTGTACAGAGATAGGCATGTTTGTTTCCAAAGGGCCCCTCCCAGAGAGATGGGGCTTAGGAATACCCAAAAAGAGGGTTCCTGGAAGTAGTTGCTAGACTGAGTTCAACATACCTCTCTGTGCATGTTCAGAGATTCATTCAGTGGTGATTGAATTTAATGGATATACTTTGGTGAACAAAGAACTTTCACAAAGGAATAGTCTGTGCCCTTGGAATGTGCAAAGGGAAGAAAAGCCAGCTCTCAACAGTACATGCCCATAATTAAATAAATTAATAGCTACTCTCGATTTCCTGATGAGTTGATGTCCTTTGGGTACTGGGCTTTGGCATTTTAGAAGATGTAAGTGTGGCTGCTGAAGTTTTATAATATTTTTAAAACTTTTTAAAGGTTTTTTTAGTTGTTGGTTTTGATTCTGCTATTGAGTGTTTGATTTTTGCAGTCTGGGAAGAAATGAGTAAAGTAGAAAGGGAAGTCCTACCTATCTTCACAGATATGTCTGGGTTAGTAGCTCCAGAATGGGAAACTGTTTGAGCAATAGGCTTACCTGCCTCAGTGGAAGGTTTGCCCGCTCCAGCTGTGGGCTTTCCAGTGTCAACTGTGGGCTTGCCCGTTCCAGCTGTGGGCTTTCCAGTGTCAACCGTGGGCTTGCCCGTTCCAGCTGTGGGCTTTCCAGTGTCAACCGTGGGCTTGCCAGTGTCAGC